CTGCGGTCGAGGCTGCAGCCCCGCCTGGCTCTCCACAAGCAGTTTGCGTCGCTCGGTGAGTGCCTGGCTCCCCACGCCGAGCCTGGGGCTGCGGCAGCAGGCTCCTCTTGCCGAGGGCAGCTGACCCATGTCCCCTTTCGTGGTGCTGCAGAGCTGCAGTGCCACCCTCGGCGTCCCCAGTCGTTCCCTCCGTCCTCGGTGGGAGCGGGGCTGTGAGGGCTGCCCTGTTTCAGGTGGGAGAGGAAGGCTGTGCCCCCTCTCGCTGCCCAGCACCCCTTTGGGACTGGCCATCCCCATGCTGGGAATCTATTCAGGCCGTGCTGGGAGGTGAACCGCACACCCACGCCTGTCGGGCAGCTGTCAGGCAGGCCGGGCATGCGCTCTCAGGGCTGCGAGCTCCCGTGGGATCGCAGCCGAGGCCTCCGCTGCCCCGCTCTGGGCAGCTGATGAAGGTGTCGGACGGCTAACGATGTCCCCAGGTCCCGGCGTTGGAGCATCTCCATCCACAGGACAGCGACAGAGCTCTGCCCCCGCCCTGCCCTGCTCAGGTGGCCTTGTCCTTCCTTTCAGAGCACGGCGTTGTGCCGGTCTCCAGCGAGTGCCAGCACCTCTTCCCTACCAAGATCGTCTCGCGCCTGGTGAAGTGGGCTGCCATTCCCTACGAGGATTACGCGGTAGGCGCCGGACAAGGCCATCTCCCTCCCAGCTCCCGTGCGGCACCAGCAGCTTCTCACTCCTCCTCCTGTCTCTCCTCGCAGGAGCTGCCCTACACCAAAGATGTGATAGAGGCCGGCTTGGCCGAAGACACTCACCTCTACTACATGGCCCTGATAGAAAGGGGGACAGGTAGGCGTCTTTCCTTCCCCTGGCAGTTGCTGTTTCCCGCACCAGATGCCCCCGGGGCAGCTTCTGGGGGTCTCTGGGACATGCCTCCAGCTGGAGGCCCCGTGGGCTGCGGGTGACCTGCCCTGCTCAGCCAAGCTCCAGGCTGCTGTGGTCGTGAACCCCGGTTACTCCACGCTGCCGCCCGTCTTCAGCCTGTGCCTGAACTGGAAGGGAGAGCGAAACAGCAGCAACGACGACAACATTCGGGTAACCCGGGGTGCTGGGAGATGAGGCTGGAGAACCGCTGGCTTTTGGGGGTGTTCCCAGTGGTTCTGTGTCCTTAAGAAGTTGGGGTGAGCTGGTGGCTGGGCAGCTTGGGGCAGGCTCATGCGCCCTGCCCGAGGCAGCAGCGGGTCCGGGGAGGGCAGAGCAGAGCCCCAACGCGCAGCGTCTGCTGATCCCTCTGCCAGGCCATGGAGAGCGAGGTCAACGTGAACTACAAGGAGCTGTGGGGGCCCAAACCAGGCCACCAGCTCCTCACCAACCAGCTGCAGCGCCTGTGCATGGTGCTGGACGTCTACCTGGAGACGGAGCCCCACGACCCCAGTGTGGAGGGGCCCAAGGAGTTTCCCCAGGAGAAGATGTGTCTGCGCCTGGTCAGGTCAGAGCTGGGGGGACGCTGGGGTGGTGAGGGGCTGGGGAGGGGGGG